ACCGCCACATGTTGAAAAGGCATTATTATTGACATTACTGTTAATATATAGTAGAAGTTTTACGCATTCAGTAATAAAATGTCACAGGGGATGGTATGGGGGGATGATTATTACGATTTTTTTAAGAAGGTGGGATGCCATCCCCCCCTCAACTTGAATACTGTATATACTTATATATACACACACTGTATATATATGACCAGCACAGCTATGTTATTTTGCTTTTTTTATTAAATTCAAGAAGAAAAGCAATCAACCACACCGCCCTCAATCGGAACTCAGTTTGTGTAACAGAAAAGCCTCATGATTTGATGCTGATTGAGTAAAAGGTTTAATATTTAGTATATTACTTAACTTCACGATTCTTAACAATTCTCATTTAGATGGAGGGGATAACGGCGCAAGAGTTTTCATGAAATATTGACTTTTTTTCTCGTAATTTGACGAGTTTAATCACGTTGTTTTAAGCTGTTTTCTTAACGGCAGGAGATGGATGGAAAAGTTTGCGCAGCAACTGATTGCATCTATAGTAATGAGCTCCTGAGGTTGGGAGGAATTTAGTCCATCCTAATCTTTGGACAAAACGTTAGGACTAAAAGATTTCTTTGAATCTGAATCTTCATTTGGTTGATAATTATTTAGGATCAGTTGTATGTCTAATTTAAGTATATAGAGAGTGTCGACATTTTACTGGCGGCTCTCTGCTGCCCCCTCTTGGTTATTTTAAGGTAGTTTTTGTGACAGAAATCCTCCCTAAAAATCTTTGTAGTTTTATATAAATACCCTGTAGATGAGCAGCTTCAAATACAGGAGGCCTGAAAAGAAAAACATTACGAGACAAAACGACGTCATCCCTTTGCAGTTGATTTATTTCAAGCACTTTTAATAGGAGAGAATAAAGGAAGATGTCACAGCAGACAGAAGCAGCAGCAGCCGTGTGACACCTATTAGTTGATTGGGGAACACTTTCATTTGAATTCTCACACACCGAATGAAATTCTCTGAACAGATACAAAAGGAGACACGTAAGCCTCAAATGGTTGAGAAAAAACAAAAACGGTCTCAAACAGCTGAACATGAATTGGATTTAACCTAAACTACCACCACAACATATTTCCACCCTGAAACACAGTGAAGAAATAAAAAGCTGAATTTAATCGTGAACCATTAGGTCCAGTTTCTCCCATTAATCATTTCATTCATTCCTCCTGTACTCAGTATTCATATCGGTGAAGGTTGGACAAAATAATTGCAAACTTGCTGCATAAAAAAAAAAAAAAAAAAAGTGTTATAATTCTACGAAAAACAAAAATTATTTATTTAAAATAAAATTTCTGATTAAAAACTCAAGGCCCAACCTT